AGAAATCCATTTTATGATTAAAACAACTGAATATCTCCTGTAATATACTTTATTTTGATTCCATATTTTTGTCAGAGCTATAGTTCTCATAACCAAACATAATTACAAAATTTCAACTAGTTTCTAAAGAATAACGAAAGATATAATTGACTGAATACATCAAAGTGGATTTCTATTCGGACAACCCTTTCTGCGCCATCTATATTTGGCCAGTCATATTAAAAATAGTTTTTGGGAATGTATGCTTATGTATGTCATGTACTATATATACTATATGTCCTGTATTAATAGGTCTGACAGATCAATGAGATAATAACATGTATAATTTCTCCTTGAAATTGCAGTTCATGTCATCCAGGAGGATGTAAACTGGACAGGAAAAGTAGCAATAGTTGTCCATAAGAGATAATGTACAAGTCCATCCATCTTTAGCAAAGCCATGTGCATTATGTGTTGTCAGCGAAGACCTTCTTTTGTGTACTGACGACGCACAAGGTATTATACATCAATTATCATTGGAATTTGATGGAGTGACGATTCGTGGCAATACTGTCAGCGTCATTTCTTTTACTGATGGCATGCTTAACATCGAATCGATTTATTTCTTGGATAAGTATGCATACATCGCGGCATCTTCATGTCATGGAGGCCTTTATAGATGCGAGCTTAGCACAAATGTAGTGGAGAAGGTTCATAGCAACTCTGCCGAAGGTGCTCGTTCGGCTACTGGAGTAAATAGGATATGTTCCTTCAAAGGTAAAATTGTAATTATATTGCTTGTGATGTTACTCCACATATATCCACACCGGGCAGGCCGGCTGAAAAATATGCCTGGCCACGGTGTGAATCGAACCGATGACCTTTGGAATACTAGCCCAATCAAAGAGTAACATCACAAGTATCTTTCACCTGAGTACACTACACCAACACAGTATATGTAATTATATTGTTTCAATTATTTCACGATAATGATTTCTACTTATTTTATAATAATAAAACAGAAATTCTGTGTTATCCAATGATTTGATATAGCTCGAGTTCGGAATTTATTAGAGAAATTTACGTTTTCTTTTAGGTAATGTTGTGTTTACCGATTCTAAAGCTGGAAGAGTGAAGCAATACAACCCTGTTGATGGCTCAGTTAGTATTTTGCTAGGAAGCGGATTGGACAGATCCCAGGATGGCACGGACAAAACATGTTCCTTTGCGCAAGTGAAGGGAATTACCTTGGAGAACACATTGTTTGTGACAGATGTTTCCGCTGGCGCAATAAAGCTAGTAACGGGCCTTGCTGGTACAATAACATTCCTTAAAATGCTTGGGTGCCTTTATGAAAGTTTTGGAATTCACTCAAAAGTCTCAAAGGGCATGTCAGTGGGGAATGCAAGTTCGCTTGAGAATGTGAAAGAGAATGTAGCAAAGGTCAACAAATATGTGCAAGACACTGTTACCAAAGTGAAAGAACATTATCACATGAAAGAATCTTCCGTGACCAATGGCCCAGAGGGCACGATATCCCATCAAACCCAAACATCCCTGGACCTGCTCAACAAGGGAATCAACAGATTATGTAAGAATTTAACCGATATTAACCCCCGCTTTGCTGACGACGTGGCGCTTGAATCTCTGCTGACGACCCAAGTAGAAAACCTTCATGCAGTCTCACACTTCAAGCATGAAATCTTCAGCGTTCTTCAATATGCCCAAGATTTTGACACAATTGTCAAGGAGTCTCTCAAACGGACAACCAAATGGGCTGCTAAATACTACACACATGTGACAAGTCGTATTAGCCAGTTCCAGAGACAGCCATGCCCCTTAATGCCATAAAGGTCATGGCACCTCTTCGACCTGAAACAATCCCTCGTGAAATGGAAGCAGTCATGAAGGACTGGCTAGAAAGCTATCGGCCAGTTCGCCAGAGAACGGTACGTAGTGAAACGACAAAGGACAAGGCTGGTGCATTGCCACCAGCTGTATACAAGTCCTCTGATCCACAGTCTTCAAAAGTTCATTTTCCCGAAGACCAGATTCAAGTCATCCAACCCACGCCAAACATTACTTTTGTTGATGAATCTAATGTCGCAGTTGTTGTGAGTGGTAAAGATGAGACAGAGCTGCAGATAGAACAGATTGATGAGTATGAGACGGATTCCGATGATGGCGCACCTTCCAGCCACGATGAAGATGATGAATTTGGTGGTGTTAGTGAACTACCTATCCGTCCAGCTAGTGTAACTCGTTCTGGAAGAGCTGTTAAAAGTGATTCTACGCCTGGATTTGTGATATATATATATATATATATATATATATATATATATATATATATATATATATATATATATATATATATATATATATATATGTCTCATATTTTATATATA